AAAAAAGTAAAAGACGATTAATATATTGTGTTAGTTGTAGATTTATCCTTAATAGATTGAATAAACTTCAAACTCCATTATAAAAATCGAGAAGTTCAGGATTACATGTGCCATTCATAAACTTGAGCATCGTTAACTAAAGCAACTCAAACATAGTAGCAAAAATAGGGTAGAAATAAACGTATAGGTTCAGCAAAGTTCTATTGTATCAAATGTTCGGAGTATTCGTATTAATTATTTACATCCAATGTATTAGTATATACAAAAAATATTAAAGTACTTTTAGACTATAACATTTCCACAATGTATGAATAATTTGTGAAATTTTTATTTAGAATGTCAACAGTCTACTACAGAGGTTACTCCAAAGAAACTCTCTTGTAACGGTCGTACTTGTCTAACATGCGGTAAATGTTGTGATTGGCGTTTTACTGGCGATGCACCAACTGCGGATTGGATACGTAACTATCAAAATTGGGGTAACGATGACTGGAAGCGTTGGCGTCGTAATCGTATGTGGAAACTTTATGAGCGTATTGAAGATGGGACATGTACTAGTGTTAGTCAAGGTTCTGGTTCTACTTTTGATGATCCCATTTTTGGTGGTCATCATGTTGTTCATACAGTTGATTTTTGCGCTGGTCATACTATTAAAGCAAGTCATGATTTTCTTTTTGTTGGAGATCATATTCCTGCTGATCAGCATATTATTTCTTCTGGTGGTGACTTGTGTGTTTGTAATATTAATAATAAATAAATTTTAATTGTTCAATCTATTGATTGAATCTCAATACACTGAATATTTTATTCGTTTTATCTACTATTATTTGTCAAAAATATTCGAAAAAAAACTGAAAATCTATACTTCGATATTAGGATCTGCAAAAGATACGTAAAAATGATTTCATTAGTTTATATTAGGTTAACTAATTGTATCTCAACTGAATCTTATAATTATCATCTTAATATGTAACAATGGTTTTCTGATTGGGTTAGAATGAAAAAAAAGATTATTAAGTCAGGTTAAGACGAACAGTTAAACAGCATGTTCTTTAATCGAACGGCTCGATCTGAAGGTGTGGTGGATGACAGTGTCGGGACAGATACAAGGATGCGGATATTATAAATATCTTACAATTACACTCATCCACACTCTCAATTTTAGTTTATTTATTTATTTTTCTTTGTTGCCTGTAAATGAAATTAAGTATTATATATTACTTTTTCTGATAAAATAAAATGTTTTTTTAAAGAAGTTATCATATTCCTAAAAAGTATCTGTCGATCTGACACGGTTAGGATCTGAGTGAAAAAACTTGTACCTGTGCAGAGCTCTACAATATGATAAGTAATCGGGATTTATATTCTATTGTTTCATTATTTAGTATGTTTTATTAAAAAAGAAGATACATGAAAAGATGCCGTGTGAAATAATTTATAATTTACAAACAACAGTTTATTGCAACTGTGCATTTTTTGTTGATTACGATTAAGAAAGATTATTATGATTAATATTTACACAAAGAACGATCTATAAAAATGAAAGGTTATAGTTCATTTTATAAAAGTATCTACCTATCGATATTCTATAAAATCAATATTTTATTTTATTGAGATATACAGTATTAAAGAATAATATATGTATATATGTTTATTAGGTTTGAAACCGTATCAAATCTTTAATCTGATAAAACTGTATAAATTAAACACAGTTATATTTGTTAATTCAAATTTTTCAGCAATTATCATAATACAATTATATTTATAAAATAAAAAATTTGATATTTGACTAATCATTAAAAGGAGAACAAAAAAAGACACTACTTTTATTCTTTGTAACGACACTAACATAATCTTCTTCTTTTTCGGTATATTTATTCATATGTTAATTTCAAATATTTCGTGACGTACTGGAATAAAACTACTCTTATTTGTCTTCTATTAGCTAAAATGCATTATTTCTAATGAATTCGCCTATCTACTTTCTTCATACTTGTTTACTTCTCTTTTCTTTCTTTTTTTCACATTTTGATTTATATTTAACGTATCTTTCGTTGATCTTCTTTGATATGTAGCATTTTATCAAATTGTATCATTCATTTCTTCTCACTTTCATGTCTTACATTTCTACATAGATAAGACAACACTTAATTGAATCTCTACAAGAATTATATTCATTACTTTAACAGCATTTTCTTTCCATGTAAAACAATGAAAAGACAAATATTAACAGTAAAAACCTATCGGACGATGTTTCTATTGCTATTAATAATTTATTACCATTTGAGTTATTCAATGTTAAAGTCTCCAACATAGTTACAAGCATTTCAGTGAAATTGTATTCATTAAAAGATTACTTGTTGTCAGAAGAAAAAATTTATTTTATTATTTTTTTTTACTAACAATAAATTCTCATTGTAGTAGTATTTAAATTATATCAGACTCGTTTTATCAATTAAAAATTTTGTTCAAAAGATCGAAATTAAATTAATATACACAATAATGTCCATAAAAAACGACTGATATGTATTAATAACATAATTTATCAAAAGTAAAACAGAAAATATACAACATCATTTGATTTTTATCATATGGATTTTAATTTATAGAATTCAATCTAATAATTATTTAGTTGTATATGCATCATAATAACAGACTATCATTTAAAATCTCTGAATTAATACGTATAGGCCAAAATAGTGATTGAGATACACAATCTTTATAAGTTTTTGCTACATCAAATAATTACCATTAGAATAACTTTTTTTGACTTCTAGTGAAGGACAACTTTTCAATTACATTAGAAGGTGTTTTGTTGATGAAAAACTTATTCCTCAACTAAAGAATAAAAGTGTTTATTATATCTATACTTCTTTTGTTTTTGTATCAGTGAGGAAGAAGAAAAGTGTCCTAGGAAACAATACGTTGGAATATTTTTTTTCTATATTTTTAAAAACTATTCTCTGGCGAGCTATATAAAATGAGTAGTTCTTTACATTGTTGACTGTTAGTTTGAGAGAATACATCCATTTTAAACAATAACATTTGAACACAATAATTATTTTAGAATCTATTATTTTTTATCCGAAACATCGATCTTTAAAATGATGAAAGGTAACATTTTAGTATATAGATAACATTATAAACTATTCTACACTTATCATCTAGATACGATATATATTCTATTGATATAATAATACAATTTAGATTTTGTTTAGAAATACTAAAACAATAGTCGCTACTTCTAACATGTCAATATTCATTTCATTATAATTTATTCATCTTCTAGTTACATATAGATATAGATTTCAACATTATTCTTGGTTATCTATAAATATGAATGAATGTGAATTTAATTCAATAAAATATAAATGTAATACTTTCATTCGTATTATCATATATTTACACTAGCCCTTTAAAATATTTCACAGATACTAACACATCATCATTCATACATATATGTTCTATAGAGGACTATAATGTGTACTAGTAATCTAGTAGATAAAATAAGTTTGAGTTCATTAATGTTAATGATGCGCCTGAGTCAATACCCAGGTCGAACAATTCGGCACGGAAACGGCCCGCTCCGTGGTATTCCGGAGATTTCATAGAAGCAATAATGCCGTTGAACGGATCCACCGACTGGATGTATCTGGATTGGGCCGAAACCAGCAGCCGGATACGGTTACCTCGCTTCTCCATCGGATTCCAAACATTTTTCGGGCGGGTTCCGCCTGGAAATGGCCAGTTTCCTTAGGGATTTTGTCGGAAATTCATGGAATCCTGCTTCAGGAACCATCGTCGTAGGTTTCATTGTAATTCTTTTTTAGTAATGTTTCTACTTTTTTAATCTGTTTTGATAATCGTTCAAATTTACTTCGACGATATAAAATTTCCTCTATTTGTTGAACTTCGGTAATTAATTCGTCTAATGCCGCATTTCGAGATATTCCTATCATATTTAATAAGTCATTACGCATTCTGCAGAAAAGATATTTGACCAAATGAGATTTAGTTTCATTTTCCTTCTACTTACATTGATGTCATTCTATTTCTTGACGTGCTTTGCGAACTGGCGAATTAAATTGTGTAAGAAATAAATCTGTAAATTCTGCCCATGTTTGTGGCCGGCGATGTGACATATTTAACTGACAACACCATTCTAAGGCTGATTCTCGTAGGAACTGTGAAATACCGTTAAGTAAAGTAGTACGATTTCACGTATGTACTGATTCAGCATAATCTTGGACACGAATTAAAATTTGTGCTGGGCTTTCTGATTTTTTTCCATGAAATACTGGAGCTGCTGATGATGGTGGCACTATGATTGAATGTTTCACCCCATTTAACGGAAATACCAGTGGTATAGCTGTTGTATGTTGTATCTCCGATGCCATATAAGATGGAATCGTCTCAAAAGGATGTCCCCCTTGAGCTGTTCCTGGATAAAATTTTGTTGACAAAGTATGTCTTTGAGTATTCTCTGGAGTTAGCATCCATGGTATTCTTTTTCTACTGCCTGATTCTGTTGTTCGTTCGTTCGTTGATGAAATGACTGATTTTAAAATTAAATCTAATTTACGCATAATATTGTGCATGTTACGGTTAATCTTGCTCGTAGTTTCTTCGAAATATGCTGCTGTTAATGATTGAATAGAATCTATCTTCTCATTGCTTCTTCAACTGATATTTTTTCTATAGTATCTTTAGTGTCTTCGAATGGTGTTATCATTTTATTTACGTAGATATATATGTGTTTGTTATTGATAAGTAGTTGAACAGGAGATTCAGTAAGTTTTAATTTTGTATTAAATTAAACTTGTAACTTCAATCCTGTTGTGATCGCCAAATGTAAAGAACTGTATTATGAATAAATATAATGTTGTTGAATGAGGATAGAATATTCGTTAAGTGGTGCAGATTTTATTTTATTTCTGATCACAAAGAGAAATTTGAAGAGTAGCATTACCGCTATTTTCGGTATATACGATGTTCACTACAGTACTACATTTTTTCAATTCTCCTTTTACAACGTAAAACACTCGCTTTATATACGCACATAAAATAGAATAGAAAAAGAGGTAGAACATGCATTCTATTCATTACGTAAGAGTGACTTAATTAAGTCTGTTGGCATCACCACGACACTCGAGAGGACATCGCTAATAGAGCCGTCACTCAGTCTAATAATGTATGCGTGATACTATTACCATATTACATAACATCCAGGACGACGTACGACGTCCAGCCAGTATTGGTACAAGAATCATCTTCTAAATGAACAAAACTTAATTGTAGATTGTGTTGCTACTTTCTGCAGTTTTATGTGTATTATTATGAACGTATATCTATCATTCTACATCTAGCAATATAATATATTTTACATAATTTCAATTTCAGATTATTTATCATAGTTGTTGTAACTTTTGATCCTCAAATAACAATACATATTCATTTATAATTTCAAGTGCAACTGTTCACTACTGGCAATCTTCAATTAAGCATTGTTTATCGTTGATCTATTCCCAAGATAGATAGTATGTATTCTTTTTTGTTTTTGTTTCTTATATGAATATATATGTAAACAATCTTTATTATCTAATATATTACTATTCCAATCATTCTTCTGAGCTATTTAATCTTTCGCAAAACCATTTCTTATTTGATTTCAGTTACATATGGATGAAAACAAGCGATAGAAATGACTATTTAAATATAGCACTCTCGCTTATCTGCATATTTTTATAATCATCCATTCATATTAAAACTTTAAAACTCACATATTTGCTTTGAAACCGCAGTAGAAATGGGTTTCATAATAGTCGCCCGATACAAAAATCAATTTGAATGTTAATAGCCACACGATTCTGAATAAAATTTTAACTTATTTTATTTTTAAAGTGTTTTGATTTCATACGAAGAAGAAGGATCCTATATATTCTGTACTTATATAGCAATTTATAATAGAGCTGCAGATTATTCATATGAAAAGAATGTTTCAGTAACATTCTATAACTGACAGTCGATTTAGTTTTTTTGTATCAATCTTTATCGAAAATGTGTTATAAACACTTTGTTTGGATATTTTATTTTAGTGGCAAGCCATCCCCTTTTCCTTTCTCAATTATGGCAAAAAGTAAGCTCTACTGTTCGAAATTTTAATTTGTTTTTATCAACTACACCCTCAACTGATGAACATCAACTTCAAAATCAAAGAATATCAACTAGATTATTCATCATTCTATTAACCTTGTCATTAACTATACTTGTCTTATACACTTCACTTATCAATGTCACCAAAACTATTGATATAAGTTCACCCACAATCGCACAATACTCACAACTATATTCAACTTATCCACAAACACTATCATGTGCATGCACAGATATATCCATCGATTATGATAAATTTCTGCAAGTCAACTATACACTACACCAAATATGTGCCAGCACCTTTATTACTGATGGATGGATTGGCTATCTTTATAATGCTCGCCCAACAGGTGCCCTAAATAGCGACGACTTTCGAAACGCTGGCTTATTTATATTTCAAGCTCTGAATGCCTTTTGCCAATTATCTACTCAAACAATTTCTAATCAGCTTACTCAGTTTTATTCAAGTCAATATGTTAGTGCATCTGTCACACCATTAGAAGTATTTCAGACACAAACTCAAGCATTTGTTTCACAGTTTACATCATCTGTGACTAAGGACTTCATATTATCACTTTCAACAATAAGAAAAACAACTCAAAGTAATGCATTACTTAATGGACAACTCACTAACTATTATCTTTCTGGAGACATTAGTAACAATGTAAATGCATATCCTTTAACATATGGTGATTGTGGTTGTAAGTTTTCAGCAGTATGTAGTTATGAGCTTGTAATATATAACTCCACCAGTAAAAATGTACAGTTTACTGTGCCAGGTATATATGCAGGATGTTATGTGATTGAAGCATTACTTCAGTCAAATCTTCAATGCTTTTATAATGCATCTTGTATAAATGAAATACAATCATATTTCACATACTATTTATCAATGAATCTAACAACACTTGATACGTCATTATTAGTTCAGTTTCGTAAGAATTCTACAATAGAAGAAGTTGTTGATGAGTTGATGGTTGAAAAATGGAACTCATCAATAGTATATGATGGTTATTATAATGAATGTCAACCATCGAAATGCAGTTATAGTTATGCAACAAAGAATGATGTAGTTTATATAATAACGACGGTGATTGGACTAGTTGGCGGATTAATAACAGTATTGAAACTGATCGTACCACGACTAGTGAAAATGATGAGAAGTAAAAAGGAAGTAACAAGATTCGAAACTGGTAAGTTATAAAAATAGTTTTTACATTAATATGAACACTGTGTACAGAAGTAATGAGAAAGAGCACATAAAGTCACTTCCAATTCTAAGATGTTCTATAGAACAAGATGAAACATAGCATACAATGGATGTTTGTAGCAGAATAAAGGATCAATCGTATCATAAAATAGGAAGTTGAGAGTTGCTTAGTTTTCTAATTTACATAAAGTAATGCAATATTGATTCTTTTGTTTATACTAGCATTTTATCTATGGTATATTCAACAAGAAAACTCTTTGTGCGACCTTAGTAACATTGTACAATCCTGAATTTTTTTTGAAATAGTCTAGTCATTTTGCATGTATTTTGTAGCCATAGTTTATATTATATATAAGTACTGTCATGACCATTTTCATTAGTATACGTATAGTTTTGGACATATATTTACACCTTTCTTTTTCGACTCAACCTATACTAGAATCAAAACTTAAAAATAACAATAGTAAATTCTATTTAAAAAAAAACATAAGAAAACGTAAGTGAGCAGTCCTTTAATTGCTTGAATCACAAATAATATTGCTTTCCCTACACTGAACTGTCATCGACATTTATATCCATTTGAACTCATCTTCTCTGATAGGAAACATCTAAGAATAGAATTTTACACAGTAACATCATTGGTTGATTGAATGACAATGATTTGTAATTGAGAGTACTTGAAAAATACTGACAAAGTGATGACAGAAACGTAACAAAACATTTTTACCTCTAATCTTGGTTGCCCATAAAACTCATCGAATCAGTCGTGAAATGTCATTATTTGCATCTTGTAAACTTCTGTAGATACTCGACAGTTTTGATTATTTATTCGTGAAAAAATGTGATCGACTAATACACTGATAATCAGATTTGATCTGATCCTGAAAAACCATAAAGGAGAGAATGTATGCCTGGATAGTATTTTGGTTGCTTACTCATATTCTGGGACGCACGCGATTTTGCATATGTACTGTTAGCTTTGTTTTATTTTGTATAACTACCACTTTTCTAATTTTCCCATTTTTATTAAAGAAACAATTGAAGAAAACAGAAGATTTGGCTTCCTTCAGAAAACGAAACATTACTTGTACACATTTAATATGTTTCCATCGAATCCACCTTCAACTGATCAACATCAACTTCGTAATCAAAGAATATCAACTCGAATATTCATCATTCTATTAACTTTATCATTAGCTATCCTTGTCTTATATACTTCACTTGCAAACGTCACCCACACCGTCAGCATAAGTTCACCCACAATCGCACAATACTCACAACTATATTCAACTTATCCACAAACACTATCATGTGCATGCACAGATATATCCATCGATTATGATAAATTTCTGCAAGTCAACTATACACTACATCAAATATGTACAAGTACTTTTATTACTGATGAATGGATTGGCTATCTTTATAATGCTCGCCCAACAGGTACCTTAAATAGCGATGACTTTCGAAACGCCGGCTTATTTATATTTCAAGCTCTAAATGCCTTTTGCCAATTATCTACTCAAACAATATCCAATCAGCTTACTCAGTTTTACTCAAGTCAATATGTTAGTGCATCTGTCACACCATTAGAAGTATTTCAGACACAAACTCAAGCATTTGTTTCACAGTTTACATCATCTGTGACTAAGGACTTCATATTATCACTTTCAACAATAAGAAAAACAACTCAAAGTAATGCATTACTTAATGGACAACTCACTAACTATTATCTTTCTGGAGACATTAGTAACAATGTAAATGCATATCCTTTAACATATGGTGATTGTGGTTGTAAGTTTTCAGCAGTATGTAGTTATGAGCTTGTAATATATAACTCCACCAGTAAAAATGTACAGTTTACTGTACCAGGTATATATGCAGGATGTTATGTGATTGAAGCATTACTTCAGTCAAATCTTCAATGCTTTTATAATGCATCTTGTATAAATGAAATACAATCATATTTCACATACTATTTATCAATGAATCTGACAACACTTGATACGTCATTATTAGTTCAGTTTCGTAAGAATTCTACAATAGAAGAAGTTGTTGATGAGTTGATGGTTGAAAAATGGAACTCATCAATAGTATATGATGGTTATTATAATGAATGTCAACCATCGAAATGTAGTTATAGTTATGAAACAAGGAATAATGTAATTTATATAGTAACAACAGTGATTGGACTAGTTGGAGGCTTAGTAACAGTATTGAAACTGATCGTACCACGAATGGTTCGACTTATTGTTTTTTGTATTCGAAGATGTACAGTAAATCGTAACGCTGTATTGCCATTCATTCAACTGCAGTTGTTAGTTCATTGATAAGCATTACAATTTACCATAAACACTCGCATAGATGATGATAGACAGCAAGTCCTCTTATTTTTGGTATACAAAAGGTTTACACGTGACTTTGTTTTAAGAAAATAGATTGATACAATCTCCCGGAAAGATATTTCATATATTCATATTTATTCTGCTTAGCTTTTCGCTTGCTTCTTCATTTGTATTTCTTGCTTTTATTTAATTTTGCACACCTATATATTTTAAATATAAATAAAAACAAAAAGACGATGAACACATTTAATTCAAGGTACATATATGTATATATAAATGGTATGATGAAAGCAAAAGTAAAACTGAAAGGATGTTGAAGTTCTCTATTTTACTTTATTGTACATCAATATTAGTAAATAAAAGTTTCTCGAACATTGCACTAACATATCGAAAAACAAATTAGGTCATATGTGATGAGCCATTGAAAAATAATAAATAAAATAACTTACAAATCATTATTCAGTACAGTAAGTATAGAGATATTTTTCTAAACAATATAGACATGCAGATCAATATGAATGTGATTGAATATAGCCAGTATAATATGTATATTTCTAAAAGTACGAAGAAAACAAATTAGAATTGAAACTTGAAAAAGTTGAACATAATGAACTTCATTCAAAACTAGATATTCAATAAAATAAAATTTATCAACGTCAGATTCATTAGAGTATATATAATATTTAAAAAAAGTTCTTCTCTTCATATCTAGAGATTTTTAGACGTATAGGAGAGTCAAAATGTTGTAACATTTATACTCAAGAATATGAACAATAAGAAAAATGGTTTTCTTACGTAAACTTTTGAAATAAAAAGATTGAACCTTCTATGTATACTAACTGGAAATAGATAATATATTCTAATACATAGCCAATTATCATTAAAATCTAATTTAGATCTTTATATCTTATATGTTGCTTGAGAGTATACGTGACTCTTGTTCGGTCACACCCACACTCACACCCTCAAGATGATGTAATCTTCCTTCGTTCTTTTTAATCAAAGGAGTTCATCTTGAATATTTTGTTTTTCACCGATAGTAATTCCAAGATTACTTAGCAGATACTCTTGCTCAGTCAGCTTGCTTTCGATGCTTTGGAGTTTTATTTAATTTTCCATGTTTCAAACAAGAGAAAATAATTTTTGATATAACAAGACCGTTCTCACCCTGCGATCTACATTGACACTCACACGTATTTCCGTAACAAGAATAACACATAGTTGCCAAGCATTTTTCATCGATGAATATCGAAAACAAGTAAAAAATGCATCGTTATGCATGTAATAGTGAAGATGATGCAAAATGTGTTATTATGAAACATGATGAAGGAAAAATACCACTAAATGTTTTTCTTTCACGTTCTTCATCGTATTTTTTCAAGGTGTTAATAGACATCATATGCTAATGTGTGACATAACATTCATTAATAGTAGAGTTTCAAAAGTTATGAATATGAATATCATATAGTAAATAAGTTCTTAGTACGACTATAAAAATATTCGTCAGGAGTAACATAGATGAAAGATTGGGGACGACACTGACATATTGTTTTTACATATATATATTTCTTGTCATTGTATTTTTGATAAATAAATATAAAACATCTAGTCTCTACAAATATTTTGAAGAGTAAGACTTATATATTACTACAGTCGTTTTTATCACAAAGTTTTAACTATCTTTTGTAAGAAAAAGTATATTTTTCTCATTCCTAACAATGACTAAGAAGAAGATTTTCTACAACTTCATAATTATCAACGTTAAAAAGATAGATCATTGACAATATTTTCAGTTTTACATACATATCAACGAAGAAAAATGTGAAGATAAATATATGACCATGAATCGTCAAGAAGCTATCATAGCTTTGTTCGTAGTTGTTGGATGATCTGAAATTTCTTATTTCATAATATTTGAACGTTTGTGATAATTCTATCGTTAACTGATAAAGTTCAATAAATATTCTATGAACTCAATAATTTCTTAGTTACTCTGAATGAAATTGAATCAATATATTTCTTTACACTTTTAGTTTATTTTGATGTCATGATTATTCATGAATTGTTGCCAAATCTTTTACTATCGACTATAACTTACAGATCAATAATCAAAATAGAATTTGTTTTATTCGAAATTTATTTTTCAAGAATCAATAAAAATATAAACATATACTATAGAATCAAACTATAACTAAGAATATATTTATGTCCATATGGTACATAGTTTCGAGTTCTAAGATTTAATTGTATTTTGTTGCTTTGTTTTAGTTCAATTAAGTGGTACTTCAATTTTCAAATGTCCATCATTTTTCAATACTGTTTTCAATTGATCAATTTGTGCACCAGATGGTAATGTTGTTTGTCTGAAAAAGCGTGCTCGTCTTGCATGATTATTCTCATTAGTTTTATGTTCACCTCGAACAGTTAATTCATTATTTTTTAATGAAACATTAATTTCTTCCGGTCGACTCTTTTTCACATCAATTGACATTTCTAATACTTTTTTATTATCACCTTTAGTAATAAGACGTGGATGAAAATCTGAATTCATTAAGAGAGTAATATAATCAGATAATGATTTATCAGAGTCACCAGTTTGATCTGAACTTTGAGTTGTACCATTTAGAGTTGCATAATTTTGAGTTGTGTCATTTAGAGATGCGTAATTTTGAATTGTGTCATTTTGAGTTGAGTAACTTTGAGTTGTATCATTTAGAGTTGTGTCAGTTTCTGTTTCTGTTTGTGTGAGACCACTTTGATTTTCTGATTTACGAATAGGTACTTCAATAACAAGTACATCGTCTAATGTTACATGTGAAGTCATACATTCAATATCTATATCAGTCGATTACAAAACAAAAATTAGTATTAAAAATAGATAGATAAATATTAATTATTGTTACTTACCAGCATTTTTAGGTATTTCATATGTTTTTCTGAATTGTCGAATATTATAATCACCATGCTGACCTCGATCTTCGCGACTTGCTTCAACAACCAATTTCCCGTCTTTGATTATTGTTTTGATTGTATCTGGATTAAGTTCAGCAATACTCAAACGAATAATAAGCTTTTCTGAATCTGCTATTACTTTCCTTGGTTGGCAACATGTCTCATTAGTTGTAGTTGTAGTTGTTGTTATTTCTGTAAATGGTTGACATGGTACACTACATCGAATAATCTGTGGTGGAATGCAGCAACTTGATGAAAATGTATCACAACAATTCCATGGATTGCAGAAATCAAGTTGACTACTACAACATAGATTACATGGATCGTTACAAAAACTATGACAATAACTTGGACACAATGCCATTGTGTTGTATTTGCCGATGTTTTACGAGAATAAGTTAATTGAAAACAAATTTTGAATATTGAATGTCTAATATCGATACAAATACATACTCATATATGTGTAATGATACACATCGATGAGTATTGATGTGTAACATTTTCGTAAAGTTTGTCAAATATCTGTGTTTGATCGTTGTCTCTATCATGCTTATTTAGTTTCGTTGCTTTTCCTATTCTATGTTTTTTTCCGTTCTACCTAGAAAAGGAAAGACGATGATAGTTAAAATGTAAACACGAGAAAAATTTCACGTTAATTATATTTTGAAATAAATCAAACTAGTCTATCGTCACCTGAAAAAATATTGCGCTTCATTACGCACACTACACTTTTATAAGAGTTATTTTTCCTTTCGAAAGGTGTATACTAGAAGTTTCAAGACAAATGAGTTCCTTTTAATCGATTGTATAGTTTCGAATTCTATGCATTAGAGAGATATTCACATAGTAAAAAATCTTTAAATATTAGTATTTTAATTATAAATTTGATTGACATACAACCCTACTTCTAATCAGTACGATTGAAAATTCGAACAAAAAAAGCATTTTGTTTTGTTTACAGATTATTGAAGTTGTAAAAATCATTCGTATTACAGAAAAAAATATAAGAACTTTGTGTTGTTTGATATTTTAGCATCTTTTGAGTTTAGAGTAGAGCTGTGACAAGTGTTTGTACCGTAGACGTTACACATAAAGAAGAAGTATAGAAAGAAAAAAAATAAAATAAACTAATAACTAAATTCAATTGACTATTAAAATATTTAACAAAGATAATAGTTGGTATCATTAATACTACTCAACCTCCTCGTTTTAGTAACAATAAGTACGAATTACATGTTTAAATAATATATATCAACTAGAAGTATTACTTTATTTTTATTTTTTCTTATAATAAAGAATAGTGCAATACTTTTAATGCTCTCTTATATTTTATCCTTTTCCTGAGAAGTAAAAAAAGGCTATATTGATCTTGAGATGATTTGTTGAATAGATATGAACAACTAGAAAAGAATGAGAGTTAAGGAAAGAATATAAAGAACAAAATAATATTAAAGTATTATTTTGAAGAGAATGGAAACATTCAAAAAATCTTTGCAGTTTCTTTTATATCTTCTAAGATCTTGAAAAAGCATTTGATATGACTTTTTGTACAAAGGCATTGCAATAGTATCGGCAGGTAGTTAATACTTTAAACATAGAAATAAAAGATAGTACTGCTGGTATTGCATAATTCTCTAATAGTATTTAAATATATTTAGCGATATCAGAGAGATCTTAGTTAGTACCTTCCTGAACGTTTTTTCGTATATCTTAATTTATTCAATTAAATTTAGCGGCAAATGTTTTCAAATATAACGATTTTTCATTTATTAGAACGATCTTGCATATTTACCTGTAAAGCTTTTTGTAAATGCTGTGTTAAACAAAAGATTTAAAAAATTACTCAATACACATATTCTTATAGAATTTACCGAACTCTGTTTATCCATATGAACATATCAACAACAAAAATTTCCCTGATTGTTCTATTACTTACACTTCATAAAGGAATTAAAGTTTTTTATATTTTGATCGAAAGTAATACTTTTGTAAGATAGAATGCAAGTATCATTTGGATAAATGAAAATTAAATATATTCAACACAATAGCATAGATATGCGAAAAAAAACTGTTGGATTAGCAGGTGAATCGTTTATTTCTCTTCAAAACAATAGAAACTGTCATAGTCGAGTACGAATGTTTTTGCTCCGTCAAATATAATGGTTAAGTGATATAGTCTACCATCTTCTTATGGTTCTCCAATATATCTTCTGTCTGGTGGTTTGTAAATACAGACTTGAATCCTTGGATCGCTATCAAGGAGTTGCGCCTTTACCGTTTCATTCAATGCATTTATTGCAAAGGTTTCTGCTGACCATAGATTTCTGTTTTTGTACTTATGCAGAAGATTAATACGATCAAAATATGCATCCATTGTTTCTATCGTACCTATTCCAAACCAATCTTCATTTCCACAGCAGCACTTTTTTTTTGTCGCATACACGATTCGAGGCTGTTTAGTCGTCTCATCGACAAAACGGATTGATGTAATGTTCGGAAACGGTTCAAAGAAGATACTATCAGGTCTCAATCTGATCCAGTGTGTGTACTGTGTTCCACTCTTGCGACTGTATTCTTTTCTCATAGCATTACATTGCAGCAACCCATTGAGTTGCTGCAATAAGCCTTGTCTCAATTCTTGATGTTCCCTATAACCATAAGTATTCAATGCAGTCACATTTGTAGAGGGATTTGTAATATCCATTTCTTTTACTACCGAACAAAATAGACGATTACTGGAGGAACGAGGCCGTAAAGATTCGCAAATACGAGTATCGTTCACACGTGGTTCTCTATGGTGTTTTTCTTTCGTTGAAACGAACATGAATACATCAAAAGCTGGTAACTGGTCGAATAATAGACTCTGAATGTTCATTGCTGTTGTGTGCTTACCAGAATTAAATTTCATCCACGCCACTTTTGGCTGGTTTACTGACCAGTCTACAGTCATGACAGGCAAATTCGAGGGAATCACCATATTTAATGTACGAACCTGTCCACTAACACATACAGCCACCCGAGTGGAAGGGGAGTTCTTGCTAGACGCAGCATAATCATGTGGTGATATTGAACTCTTATGTTGATTAGTAGGTTTAGGTTCGATTGCTGGTATCTGGTGTTTTAGATCATAGCTATATCCGTGTTTGATCAGATCAGTGAGAAAGTTTACACACAACCAGGCATCCTTCATCTTCCAGAAATTGGCTTCAACCATATCCACTGCTAAAAAGTAGATTTTATTAAAAAACAAACTGCAATCTCTGACACCGCTAAGATGCGAGCCACCACGCGAACATGTCCATTTTCGAAGAAATAGTATCAGCTGCTCTGTCTGTGTATATAACTGCAACTCTTCCTCAAAATCTCGTATATAGTTATGTGGATTTCTTAACTGGAGAACTGAAGGACTATGAAACGTTAATGTGGCTTTTGGTGTTAGTTCCCATAGTAGTCGTTGAACAAAATATCCTCTCCAGATGTCGCAAACTCGAAAAGTGGTTGTTATAGGAAGCCATAATGCCCAGAATGCATCATAATGAAATAAAGTATTTTGACTATTAAATGGAACGAAAAGTCCATGAGAAACTGCAATCGGTGGTTTTTCTTGAAATCGAATATCAATCCTATTATGTCTGTCTGATTGTGTCAGTCTAAATATTGCATCCACGTCTGGATCTCCATTTGCTAAACCTTGCTGAATTAGCGGTTGAACAGTTGATAAACTGATGCTATTGGAAATATTATCTCCAACGAGTCGAAGAGGATATCCACGTGGCCATATATTAGGTTGCCCAAAATAATGATAAGGATTCACTGTAATCTGCTCTTCCATCGTCAAATTATTTGTAGTGTTGACACTCGAAGATTTGTCAAAAACTGCTGCATCAAAAAATGGTTTAGAATCAAACGAGTTCATTTCTTGAGAAGTTGCTGGTAGAAAATATGCTTTGTTCGATGTAGATATCTCTTGGAATCCCAGTACCTGTTGTTCTATACCTGATATAAGTTCATTATCATCATCTGTTTCATATATGATTTTTGCGCCATGTCGAATGGCATAAAGATATCCAATTGTTTTCCGACCATAATGTCGATAAGGTATAGTGTCATGAATCTCCAATAAAAGTCTTTTTTGACTTTCAATACTTAAAAAGACACAGTTAGGATGCGACCAGTCGTTCGGTGTGCTCACATCAGCCACTAATACCAATGCCCAATTATTCAGTTTACTGAGCTTGTTAACTGTTTTAGTCGGATAATGAATAGAAGTTATAACGATCCATCGAAGACTGTAAGCAGTGTCCGCTGATAATGGCGATAATGATAGATTTGATCGAACAAGGGATACATTGTACGAACCAGTATTATCGGTTTCTACAAGAGCTTTATGAGAAGATTTAGCTGCTATAGAAGACCAGTTAGGAAGAGGTGGAGGCTTTGAATAATCCTTGGTAGTAGGTAATTGAATATTTGTTTGTTTTATTCGAGTATTAAGGACCGATATGACTGCCACAATGATCACCACCAAGATAAAACAAACTATTCTTTTATTAAAAGAAGAAGTGAAGTTTGGATGTAAATCAGACATGAATTATTCTTTTCTAAAAAATAATAAATAATAAATGCATGAGTCTCCATATTTATTCAATATTATAGCAAATGGATTATATTCCATCATTGAAACCAAACTTTCAATATGTTCTGAATGAATTCTGAATCTTTTCAGGGCAAACGACCACTAAGGTGATCACTAAATGTTTTTAAGTACCAAGACATATTGTTCATTGACGAAACGAGAATGGCTATATATGCATAATAATATACTTGATATTATTGTCATAGTTCGTCTTTATTTCTTCTCTTCTTCTTTATAGGTATATGGGCATGATTCTATTATTTGCACAGCATTTGTTTCTTTCTTTCTTTCTATCTTTTTCATATAGTCCTCCTATATGTGTATTCTATATAAATACTGTTTTTCTTCACTAATAGATGTCGAAGCATATAAATTTTATTCAATATATGAGTGAATCGTAACCTTATTGTACAATTGCATTTTTTTAACCTTTTTTCCTACAGTTCTGGTTCCTCTTGAACGATCTTAAATCTTTTTTTTCCTTACATTCCTTAATGTATGACCCACTACTACAAAAAATTTCAGCACGATGACTCATCATCCGGCTGAGATATAAGAGTGATAAGTCATCGATAGAAAACGAGATTTTTGAAGGAACCAGATAAGAAAAATAAAATAGACAAATAGCACGTTTTGTGCAGTTTCTTAAACAGATCATATAAGAAGTGACTGGAATAGGTGTTTGAGCAGCAACATTCGCTTCCGTACAATTAGGGGAAGGAAAAGAGACTCATTGTCGATTTCAGAAATATCTTTGATGTACGAGGATTTGTGCGGTGTTACCCGACAGTGTATTGTTTAACGGACGCCTAAGAAAATGAATGTAAAAAGTAAAATATGCAAGACTGAATGGAAGAACAAATCTTAATTGAGTATACTTATCATGAGATAGTACCACCACGATAATGTGATCTATTGATCACAACACATAGTGCACATAATACTAAAAGGGAAAGGCCCAAAGCTCGTTCCATTTTGTTAGTGTACAACTGTTGGTTCTTCCTTTTCTTTTTTGTGTAATCAAATACAAAGCCACACAACAAACTGAGATTAAATGTTTGTTGATTCAAAAATGAATATAGAATTTATTTTCTTCGTCTTTGTATACGTATATTTGTTTATGTCATGAATCTTTGAGAAAGAGAGATGCGCAAATGTTTTTGTCATGACTTATGTGCTCTTGAGACAAGCAAGAAAGAAAGAAAAAACGTTAACGCACTATTCTTTACGCCCATTGCAGAAAAAGTAAGCAGTAGAGAATGTTGTATTATTATTTATTGCGTTAAAATTTTATTGTTCGAATTAACAATGAAAAAAGAGACATGACATTTTAATGGTAAACAATATGCAAATATTTTTGAATCTATTATTTCTCTATTATCTCAATGCCGTGAAGAAACAGAGAACGTGTGGGTAATATAATTTGATGCAACTTTCTGGCACATAACAATGAATAGACACGTAAACCATGCAATTTTCCTGAGATTTTTATGAGAGAAAGTATTTTATTGATCGTTCAATTAGAGAAGCAGAGATAACAAAATCAAACTCAAATTTTTTCGAGTTTGCCATGAAACTATGAAAACTTAAAAAAAAATAATTCGAAGCTCTGGCACTAAGACATTCATATTTTTAGATTTTGATCAGTATATTTTTTAGGTTATTTATAAAAATGTCTTCTTGTTTTTATAAAAGTAACATTTCGCATTAGAACACTTGTTTGGGAATAAGAAGTTACTTGAAAAACGACGTCTGAAATACAAATAAATTTTGCTCTTCATAATTGTTTTTAAACGACCAGATGTATTACAAGATTTAGCATAAAAAGCTATGTAATTTATTTAAAATTATTTTTAAAGTGATCAATATTTAGACCGATACAATTTCGATCCTGAGAAAAAGTCGCTTTCAATACATGATGAGATGCACAATGAAAAAGTACAGCAAGAATATATTATTTATTTAATTGTTGGTGTGCCTGCACTTCACTGATCGGTTGACGAATAATATGAAAACAAAAAGGAGTCTGAAAAATATGGATGTGGATATTACATTAAGCTTACTCTGGCACCCACACTCTAAATTAGACTGAATAAATGAGAGTAATTGAGACCTGGCTACATTTGTCTCTCACAGGTGCATACATTCATGTTCACTTGTGCAATGACCGATTGAAGAAAACTATTAGCCAATGAACAGATTTTAAATACATACAGAAAAGACTTGAAATAAAATCTGATGTAATTTTTGAGATTTCATAGTCATTGCAACATCCTCAAAGATATTCAACTAGCTTACTTGCTGGAGATGTTGCTGGATTATTTTTCAATTTGTACGTCTTCATATGAGAAATAAGAAGATATTCGAGTAACTACTGTTATTATAAATCATGCAGTTTGAGCAAAAACTGTATCGAACTAAGCCAATTGGTAAGGTTGAGAATGGATGATGAATTCAAGAATTCTGCATACATTCACCATCCATGGTTTCAATTGGATTGAAATATTTTCAAATTGCTCGTAGTCATTTTTTTTTGTACGCATACGTGGAAGTGATGGGTATGGAAGTAAACGATTGTGAATGCTTTATTTATCTATCACATAAACTTGTTTCTTCTCAAAGAACTAAAACAATTCACTCGAAATACTTTCGTATCATATGCATCATCAAGTTTCACTTTTACAACTACATTTCTGTTAGCAATTTTATCGATTTGATGGTGATGTAATTCATTCACTTTTTTGTTTTACACATAACATTAATCGTTATAAAAAGTATAATCTTTCTTTTTTTAATTAACATCATAGATATTAACATTTCGATAAATCACAAAAATTATCGAAGTTCTCCGCATGTGTCTATATAAGAGCGGAGGTTCGAATGTAAGACATGACATCTACATCGATTTCTATAGATGAAATGCACTATTGAAAATGATTAACAAAAAGAAAAACGAGAACTTTCTTGCTGCTCAAATATAGTCAACAGAACGAAGAAAGAAATTTATAAAATCACATGTTCTCGTTTTTTCTTTGTAATATATTAAAATACGTCAAATAATTTTTTGTATAGAAATCGATGGCAAAGTTCGAATGGTTACCTAATGAAATTTTACTTGAATCATTTAAATATCTTGATGATGTCCAATTATTTTGTGCTTATTATAGTCTTAATTTTCGTTTTGACACACTTCTTTCAATACATTTTCAATCTTATCATTTTGATTTTCGATCAATATCTAAACAAAAATTTCATCTTATATGTCAACAACATCTTCCATATATTATTGAACAAGTTAAATCATTATATCTATCAAATGATGATGAAACACCAAATTTACCTGAAATATTTTATTCTTATAATTTTACATTGAATAAATTTTCTTATTTACAATATCTTTCAATTGATTCTATTCATTGTCTTTCAACATTAAATCGTATCACATTTGAATGTCGTACAATTCCATATTTAACACATCTTTATCTTATTAAATGTGATTTTAAAGATCAAACGAAATTTTCTTCTTTAATTGAAAATATTTGGAATTTATCAAAATTAATTTTATGTCAAATTGATCATCGATTTCCATATGAATTAAAATTTACTAATAATTCAATAATATCATCAACTATCAAATATCTATTTGTTGAGAATTTTCAATTTAATTCCGATGATTTAAGAAATTTATTTCAATCGACACCTTCGCTTGAACAATTCCATGCAAGTATTATACAACACAATGAATACGAACAATTTCACATTAATTCTTCATCAATTTGTTCATTAAATATTTCATTTCGTAAACCATTTGATTCAATGTTGAATTTTTTTAAAAATTTTTCCAATTTAAATCGTTTAACAATTAAAACTCATTATCTTTATTTAAATGGAAATGAATGGAAAAAAATAATTAAAAATTATTTATCTAAACTTGAAATATTTCAATTAAAAATGGATTTGAAATTTTCACATCCAAAACATATTGAAGAACAACTTAATGAACTTTTAAATTCGTTTCGAACATCATTTTGGATTAAAGAACATCAATGGTTTGTTCAATGTGATTGGTTTCTATTAGGTATAACAAATTATGCTGTATTATATACATTACCCTATGTATTTCAAGAATTTATTCTTACAAATAAACAATGGTCAAAATCAACTCTTATTGATAATGATCAATATCAAATCTATGATCATATTACTAATCTTATTATTATGAATGTTGGCACAATTCCTTATTTTCGTAATGTTCAACATCTTAAAATAAATCTTCCATTGACAAATCATTTTTGGTCATCAATTAGATCATTCGATCGATTAATTTCACTTGAAATAATATTTTTTCAAGGTTGTTTTTCTATTCCATTACAAATTTTACTTGATCAATCACCTCGTTTACATTCTTTATGTTTTGGAAATTTTTCTGATTTAGAAATTCTAACAAAATTAACAAGTAAATCAATTGTTCGACTTGATTTTTTAAAGAAAAATACATATAAAAAATATTTTACTAATACACAATGCTCTCTATTAATTCGTTCGCCACTTGGATATCAATGTAAAAATCTTTTAATATACTTAGAAAATCGAATGAATATTATTCAACTTATCAAAAATATGAATAATCTTCAATCAATCATTTGTCAATGTAAAGATGATAAACTTAATGATGAATTTGTTCAATGGTTACATCGTCATCTACCATCAACATATTCAATTAGTAGAGATTTAAATCAATTGTCGAATATTAGGATATGGATTGATTAAATTTTATTTTTATATTTTTTATCTAAAAAAAAAGTTTTTGTTCTTTTTATTAAAACTCATGGAATACGTTACTGATGAAATCAGTAGAATTATGATTAACTAGTAGAAATCTGGTATCCTCACGAGGGACGTTGTCGACTGTCCAATCGCTTTTTCACTATGCTGATTCTGAATAGGAGCATGAAAAATGCCCTTAGGCCTTTATATGGCGGTTTTCGTATTTTGGTATTGAGTTGTTATCGCGTGCACCTGTTTTATAAATTTACTTGACTGTATTTTCTCGAATACTCTGTTTGAAACAGAAAGAGTTGTTGTTTCATAGATAATTCGATATGCTCCATAATCCGAGCGAATAAAAAACAACATTTAGTAAAAAGTCTATCATTTTCAAAAATCACCATGTAAATGCCTATAGGGCATTTTGTTATGCCCATAACCGAAATCAACATAGTGAATAACCTCTAATTCAATAATTTTTATTGAAAAACAATTTGCAGTTGATTTAACGATGTTTTCAATAAGAGATGGATCAAATAAATAAATCAGTAGCAAGAGTTTCTCGATTTTCATATTTTATCTCATTGAATGTCATTTTGAATGATCATCTCGAAACAAATGTCTACAAGATTGAAATACCCACACTCACACTAACATCTATTTTCAAAAATAAAATATAAGAGCGTCATATTTTATTGAATAAGAATAAATGAATCATCTGTTTAATCTTTAAGAAAAACGTTTATGTCTGCCTATCGACTAGGATCATCGACGAAAACGATCGATGAGTTTACATCACCATGTTTTGCTTTATGTGTATCAAATAAATGTGTTAATGCATTCATATATTTCGTATGATATTCATCAATTAATTGAGATGTTATAAGTTCTGGTGCAAGTTTTGGTACTTCAATTGGTTCACCAACATATGTATTGATTGGATGACGGTTAGGTAAAAGTCCAATTTTATATTGAAAAATGCCACGACCATGAAATAATGGTAATGAATAACCCATCATTTTTTGTAGAGACATTTGTAGCGATCGTAATTTTGATCCACGTGGATTAGATACTTGATCATACAGATCATTTTCACCGAATGAAAATACCGGAACTAGACTTGCACCATTTGTAAGAGCAACTTTAACAAAACCTTTACGATTCTTAAGTGTTAATAGATATTTAGAAGATGGATGTGCATCTAATGCTTCTTTTGAACCTCCAAGAACTAAGACAATACTATTGCCTTTACCTTGTTTTAATATATAATTACATGATTCTTTCGATGCATCACATACACCCATCATTGTTAAAAATAGATCATAAAATGGTATTTGAAAATTGGAATTTAGTACAAGAAAACGAGCATTTATACCAGGAAATAACTTTTCAAAACCAGTAGCTTCAGTTGCGAAATTACCAAATGCTCCTAAAGCAATAATTCCATGTGGATGATAACCAAATATATAGGGACGATCAGGTGGTAAATCACATGTTTTATGTAAATGAATTGGAAAATAATCTATAAATACAATAAGAATAAAATTAAGCAAAAAAGAAAGAATTCTATACAAACCACTAAACCATTTCCACCAAATCAGTTTACGAAGCCACTGTTGTCTATGGCCACCTGTCTTAGGAAAAGTTCGAAATAGGTACATCCATGCCATATAGAGTAAAATGCATATAGTGGAATACCAACGATCGAAAAAAAGTAAATGCATAGTTAAATATAAACAATACCATGGTGATAACCACCATATGACAAGAGTTAATGTTTGGCAACGACGATACCATGGTATATTAAGTGGAGCAAATATACGATCGTTGGAAGCAGATGTCGACGAGTTTGAAGATCCTTTCAATTCATTGGCTTCATCGGTGACGAGTGAAGGTTTCACTTGTGTTGTCATTATTATGTCCTGAGATGAAAGAATAAACTATTTACACAGTATAATACATATATTGTATAGATATGCTCGATCAAGAGTATGAAAAGTGATAACGGATGGAATTCATCACAAATATAGATTATTCATAGAAACAAATAAGAGTTTACAATTAGCTACTTACACTGTATTCTTTAAAACTTGTTCGAAGTTTTTTCAGCGAAGTTATACAAAATATCTAAAAAAATAATATCAAAGTGTATCAAAATCTTTTAGTTACTGTGATGTCGTGACTCATTATTTAGAAGACTCTACGATCAGAAAAATCATGTAGTTGCTAAAAAAAATATTAGCATATTTGAACAATTAGCATAATTCAATGAGGTATTGTATCGGTATTATGAGCGATCAATGCTTGTTAGGCATATCTTTTGCGCTGTTAATCAAGAAATAAATAGTAAAATATCTTAAAATTTAATAACTTATTCGAAATCTAAAGCTAAAAATTGTATTGGAATTATTTGCGTAATCATGCTAGGAATTCTTATTGATATAGAAGTAGAAAAAGTGATTAACAGTAAATATACAGATCTATTACATATCAGATCAATAGACTCTTAGAATAAGAATCTACTATTAATCATAGTATCGTTCGCGATGATAGTGTAGCTATTTTCAATAAAAAGTGACAAACTTACTCTCTTGTTTAGATTCAATATTCAAGAATAGATAGTGGTTTTAAGTAATAAAGTTTCTTTTTCTTTGTATTGACGTGAGAGATCAAAACAAACAATCGTTCTACTTACATCTAAGTAGTAGCTTCTATGAACACCAAAGGATATAATTGTGTACGGTCACGGATCGTTAGTAAGATATATATATGTAGTCGTATATAATAATTAAAAAATACGTGAGAAAAATTAATATTTCTGTAACAAGTGAAGGGTTATGCAGTGAAACTAATAATAAAATAAGATAAAAATTCAAGTGCTTAAGAATAGTTTCTAGTAAACAACATACGTCCTTAGAATTTATAAAAGACATACAACACACTTCGAAATATATTCATTTTCTCGGTGTGCGTCTTGATTTTATGTATGCGTTTTTTATTCGTTCTCTTTCTTTTTTTTTTCGTTCTTCACTAATGGATACCTTCGATAAAAAATATCATAGTCAACGCACACATGATGTTAAAAGGTTGTCAGCCAAATATTCTTCTGTCCTTTTTTCTTCGTTCTTTGCATCGAGCATCAAAGAAAAAAATTGTCTAAATTACAAGTACGCCATCAGAAGAATCACATGTACAATATATTTGTTGTTTATCGATAATAGGACAAAAATATTCAGTTAGTTTTTCAGAAAAAAAATTCAATAAGAATCAAAGAAAAAATAAGTTTGATCGACTTTGATGAATTTAAGTGATTATGTATTTGTCATACATTTTGTTAACTAAACTATATGTATAATATTTTATTTAATAAAAAATTTTTGTTTTTCTTATATTTATAATATAAGTTTATATAAATAAGAATAAGATAAAATTAATCAACAAGCATAATTCCATGTGGTGAAGGTGATGTTGCAATATGTCCACTAATAGTCATACTATCTAAATTAATAATATCAATTCGATGACTCATACCACATGAAACATATGCTTGTTTTCCATTCTTTGTTATAATAATATCTATTGGATTTTTACCTGTTCGAAGACGTCTACCAAGTTGTTTTGTTTCAAGATTTAATTCTTGTAAATATCCATTATCTGTTGAATAAAAACCATTTTCATATCCAACATTCATATGTCGAATATAAATTAATGATGGATTTATAGGTGATATTATAAAACCACTTGGAGGAAAATCAAGATTAATATGATATAAAATTGTATCCGTTTCTGTATCAACAATTGCCATATCTGTTGATGTTGAAAGTGTACTAAGATATACAAATTGACCATCATTAGAACAAACAATATTTTCACTACCAAATGGTGCAGATATTTCATAAAGAAATTTATTTGATTTTAAATCAAGAACAGATATATATTGTAATTCTTTATTTGCTGTGTAAGCTTTTGTTTCTAATGGAAGAATTACAAACCAATGTGGACCTTGAGCATGAGTAGGAATTGACGACATGATCTTTAATAAATTATAATAGAGTTATATTCAATTTTAAAAAAAAATAGAAATAAAGAGCAAAAGTTTTGCATTAAAAGAATCATCCCTAACATATACATAAAGTAAACTTGATAATTACTCGAGAAAGACCGTATAAACTGTCGATTTGAAGCATTTACCATTCGAGTAATGTATAAAACAAAATCCTTTTACATTTAATCATATTCGAAAACATACAACAATGGTTTTCATATCTACAGTTTAACATAAAATTCATAGTTTCATTCACTTATTGTTAGAATGTATTTCGAGAACCATTTGCGTTATATCTTAACACTTTTTATTTGAAGTAAAAATTCATCTAGATGACAAATTGATTAATTGTAAAAGGATATTGTCTTATATCTTATCGAAGAAAAACGTAACTCAACTTCCCCATTTTCAAACAGTGAAAATCTCAGGTGGTCAGCTATTGTTCTTACTGAATTTCGAAATCGGGAATAGTATTTAAGTGGTTGAAATTCATTTATAATACTGTCGCGTATAGATCATATCTATCTTCTATCCGAATACAATTTCATATCTTTACGACGGTAATGAAACTAAAAAACATAAAAGAGAATACAATGTGTATTTTACTATTAGATGAAAATATACTCCATAGATCAAAATATTTTCTAATGAAATTTATTTAAGAAACTGTTTTTTGAATAAAATTATGATATTAAATCAGAGAAAAGCTTCTTTACAAATCTAACATCGTTAACTATTTTGTATGTAAGAAATAGTAGTTTATGTTGAATATATTCCTAACGTTTTACTATTTGTATTAAAAAATTCTGTATCATTTATAAATAAAGATTATGAAATTATTCTATTTGAAAGAAATCAAGTCTCAACGTATGAAAATTAAAATAAATACTACGTGCAAAACTTTTACTTGATATTTTTTTTAATATAAAGAATTATACCTCTAATTCATTATGTGTATCCATTCTTAATATTTCTCCATTATTTGATTCACAACTAACATATAGATAACCAGTCATTGGTCCAATTTGCATTCCATGTGGTTTAGAATGGTTAGGTCGAAGATCATAAATACTTTTTATTTTATTTTCATTGAGATCAATAGTAACAATTTCATGTCCGTCACCCATATGATTATTATAAACACCTTCACGATAAGGAATACTAACATATGCTAGATGTTTGTGGTGAGGATCCATTATAATTTCATGTGGTCTCGCAGGAACATTGATTTCACCAATTTTTGTTTGATCATGCAAATCAAATATTTCTATAAGACTTTTATCAAGTGTAACAACATAAAGCCGATGAGGCATATTCTCACTATCATCAACCATTTTTATATTCAAATGATAGAACGAGAAAAAAAAGAACGATGAACATATTCAAAAATACACTTCAATGATTATACATATGACGTAAGTTTCTTTTTTTATTATAACCCATCAAAATGTAACATATATCATTTATTATAAAAAAAATGATAAATGATGAGGTTAATATTTTTCGAAAATTATCACATAATAAAAGTTTACTATTTTCTAAATGTATTTTTCGTAGAATAATAGATACACTTGAGACCCAAGTTTAATTTTATAATTGGAGACTGTCAATAAAAGTACTATCATACGAAGAAAATTCATGATTAATTTTTGAATTCATCGTTTGCATAATATATGAACGAATGAGATCATAATCAAAATCTTCATAGATATATTGAATTAACTCTTCGTATTGAATTTTAATACATATATTAATTTTAATTTTCAACTAATTAATAGAAGAAATATGAAATTATCTACTCAATATTTTTCAGATGAATACTTCGAAGTAAAAACCAACTGACTTTTCAATGCCTTAGAGTCATTTTAGATAATTATAAGACATCCTAAAAGTATAGTGACAGTGATAATTAATTACCATATCATAACTAGAACAATATTTTCTTCTATAGATGCAGTAATCATAAAATGGATGGTTTATTTTTCTTTGATATTTAGTCACTCTTGAACGAATATCAAAATCATCAATAGCTGAATATAAGATGTGGAGAAATCAAAAGCATATCTATATTTATCTTTCCTAGTTAAGTAAACTCTATATAAATATTATATAGACAAAACTACAGTATCTAGTTGATTTTATTTTTGTAGTGAAATTTGAATTTTTTTAAAATTTTTTTCATAACTATTAATAATAGTTAATTGATGACATGAAATAGCCATTTGTGAAAGAAATTCATTAACACGATTGTAAATTACTCCTCGATTCATTAACATAATATGATAATTATGACCATAAGGAATTCGCATGAATTTTCTAATTCTAATATTTTTGTCAATATCAATCATAGCAGCATGAACACATCCATCACCAATATATTCTCGAATCATTAAATCATCTCGAATTAATTCATTTAAAAAACGTTGTATTTTTACTGATTGATAAAACCAGTTTAACCGAATAAGAAAAAAATTATTATATATACAATCAGTTCGAGCAACTGTTCGATTAGTAAATTGTTTTTCAATTGAAAATAAAGCTTTACATGTATCAGTATATAATGATCGATAAACATAATCTAATTTTTGTTTATGAATATATTCAAAAAGATCTAATTTAGTCTTATCTAGAAAATATGAATCATCATCCATTCTCATTAAATAATCATATTGTTGGTTACGGATTGCTGGATGATAAAAAACATCATATGACCAAAATCGACACATTAAACGATATCCAATACTTGGTCTTTGAGTTGAATTTGGTGATATTTGTGCATTTGTTTGATAATCAAGAAGAATAAATAAAATATTTATTTTCTTATTAGTATAATTTGTACATGATAAAATATATTGACGCTTTGATAATGTTAAACCTTGATCATGAAATATAAGAAATGGATAATGAAAATTCTCCTTAACTGAATGAAATTGTATAACAGAATGAATCATATTAATAACACGAATTATTGATGTATTTGTACTGCCAATAAGTGTAACAATTACACCTCGAGGATGATTATTCCATTTTATCGATAAATTATGATTTTTTGATAAATTTAAAGTTTTATTATATTCAGATACAGATATATTTAATGGTTTATGATGATAAAAAATAATGTAATATATAACAGCAATAATAACGATAACTTGTATTGTAATTAATTTCAAAATATTCTTTGTTGTTTTTCGATTAATAGATGCCATTGGATTTTTAATAAAAATATCCAAAGTATATATTGTATATTTTAGCAAATAATATTATATCCATCTTATTGTTTAATAATTAGGAGTTGATATAGTCATTTGAAAAACGTTATTCTGTTGATTCAGTTTGCCAGAAGTTACATATACACAGAAGATCCTAAAATAATTCATTGAACTTTTACGAAACACGAATTTAAACAATTTTTTTAAATGTATATAAATTAAAACTTAAACTCTTCGTCATTATCGAAATGTCGAACATTATTCACATACAAATAGTTTATTTCGGCCTATGAGGTGAACAAACTTTTCGTTGCTGTCTAAGGGAACCATGCATCGATTTAGTGTGTTTGCAATGTGTTTAAAAAAAATTGTTTTCACATATGTATTTCAGTCGAATCGAAAAGCATATGAAATAATGAGGAAAAACAAAAAAACATATTTATGTGATCGATGTAAATTAATATTAGGAACTGTATTACTTGAAAGAACTAAATATACTATAGTATGGACTGAAAATTGAATATTTGAAGAAAAAGATTATGATCTCCCTGTCAATACTAACAGATGATTGTTTAACAAACTTATCAGATAATGCTGCAACACATATTCATTATTTAATATCGACGTGGTATGAATAATTTACGAAAAGTTCCTGATTATAAAACCGTTATTCAAATTTCGAATACATTAACAAAAGAATACATTTCTACAAATTGATTCTGGTCTAAATAGTAATCGAATTATTAGTTGACGTAACGTTTCAAGCATATGTTTTCCATATTTTATAATCTTTCTTAATAAACTGAGTTCTTTAGATAGTACCGTTAATTTTTTGCTAGTTGTTTTTGGTCCTGTAAGTGAATTTAGTGACACATCACAAATTGTTAATTGATCAAACTCAACGGTAATGAGAAAATTGAACCAAAATAAAAAGTAATTATGTTTTAGTATACGTTTAGGCCATTTAACTATGTATTCATATTCAACTTCCCTACGACAATTGAAAGTACTGGCTTATAATTTATGAGTTCATATTTTTGTGGTATACACCGAGTTTTCTGTGCCTATCAATTAAGGTTTGACAACAATTTTGTTCTCTTATTATAAATTTCTCAATGAATATTCGTATCGACTCATTTTCTATTCTTCCCTCATTACGAATAGGTTGAAAATATTTGTAACGACATAAAAAAAGAAACTCTTTACTAAGTATCACTATTGATCTTGGGAGAAAAATGTATCAGAAACAAATTAATTATTTACTTCAATTTTGATTTATGTTTATTTTTTTAACTTTATGATACATTAATAACAGAATCTGCTTTATCGAATTTTCGTATTAGTAGAAAAATTGATTATCATCTTAGAATTTTCTTATCAGGAGACTCACTAAACACAAATCTTCAACTATTATTCATTTGATCGATTATATTTTTTCTCAGTAAATTAAAAATATCTGCTTAAATGAATTATACTTTGGATGAAAATTTATTCTCAATTTTGACTTATTTTTGAATTCGAATTAAACAGATGCTCTCAAAAAGAGAGAAATAAAAGGAAAAAATAGACCTTTCAACCTTTCATTTAATAAAATTTGATAAGTATGACAAATAGAAAGATGACGAAGATAATGAATATAACTAAATTGTTTAATTAATTGAAATGATGATTTCAGACAAAACAACTTCAATTAATTTATTTCCTATTTATTAATTATAAGCAAATCAAGAGAACATTACATGTCTTTCTTATAGTTACAATCGACTATATGAAATATCATTCGATTAATCTATACTATGTCATTTAAAAGTGAATTATCTGGCAATCGATAAACTTTCTAATCAAATGATCATTAAAGTATTCCGATCGTTTATACTATAAAATCAAACAGAGTTCTAATATCTTGAACTTACAACTAATCATACGATATATTTCTCGAAAATTCACTTACCATAAATAAAAAACAAACAATCAAGTTATCTTAGCGAATATATGTAACATACATATGAATGGTTTTTATTAATTTCAAAATATACTCTTTTTTCTCTCTTCTTGCTTCAATGATTACATTATAAAATTCATACATTTTTTTCATTTGTTACACAAAAGTTTGATATATTTTCTATTAAAACATTTCTGTACGTAACTGTATATTATACCTGAATTTTTTTGTTTCATTTAGGAATATATTGTAAGCATAGAGCTCGATCCTAAAGTAAATCATTGAATAGAATTCTACTTGAAGTATACTTCTAGTAACGATGCAATTAGAATTTTTAAATTCTTTCTATAATTAGGTAATAAGATTTATCTAAAATGATTATAGTCTCACTTACATTGCGTATGACGATACTAAAAATAATAATAAAAATTTCATGTTTACAGATGATCTCTATTCACTTGAAATTCTTTATTTATATATAAATTCGATATTTTTTTAAAATTCCGATTAATATAAAAATGTTTAATTTATTTCTATTTGAAATTTTTGTACTCGATGATTGTCTTTATCAACAACATATAAATTCCCTTGACGATCAAATGATATTCCATTTAGACTAGTAAATTGATTCAATTGTTTTCCTTTTCCATTTCCTCCAACAATAATAGAACCTTCTTCATCTTCTTTACACCAACGCATTACTCGATTATTGCCTGAATCAGCAATATAAATTTTACCTAAATGATCAACAATAATACCACGAGGATAAGATAATTGTCGAAAACAATTTCCTTGTCCATATCCACCAGCAACAACAATACCTTGTTTTGCATCTTTTAACCATTTCATAACACGATGATTATTTGAATCTGATATATAAATTGAATAATTTAAATCAACAAATATATAAGTAGGAAAATGAAGTTGATTATCATGATCACCTTCACCATTTCCACCAGCAACAATTGTTCCATTTATTTCTCCTTGTTTCCATCGTTTGACTTCATTATTTTTCCAATCCGAAACATAAATATCTCCATTATTATCCATCGTTAAACCCCAACAATTAATATTCGAAATGATTATATCTTGATTTATATTATTTTCTCGAGAACATCGGATAACTCTACTATTTCTATAATCACAAATAATAAGCGAATTACTTTTTTTATCAAGAATAACATCAGTTGGATAATTTAATTGATCCATTCGATTTCCTTCTCCATTCCCACCAGCAATAGTTTCTCCATTAATAACACCATATTTACATTCAACAATACGATGATTATCACAATCAGCTATATAAACTATTTGATTATCATCATCAACACAAATACCATAAGGATTATGTAATTGGTATTCATCAGCAATTGTTGTTCCATATTGATTCCATATCGTATCATTATTAATATTCAGTGCAGGAATATATTTTCCTAGAAAAAAAATACTTAAAATTTCAATTTATCACATTATTTAGATATCAGAGCGTTTAGATAAGCCCTTTTCAATAGTATACTCAAATCGTGAACTATACTTTGTCCTAGAGAGAATGTGTCATGAAGAAAATACGTACGCGCAGACTATCTAATTACTGTCCTTTTGAATAAAAATGTCTGACTACAACTCTCAATAAACTAATTAGGAAAATATTTTCATATAAATTTCAGCGTCTCTTTAGCAGTGTCGGATTGAAGAGAGGGGAGCCGATCACCCCCTCCTTCAGAAATTTTTTTTTGATTTTTTACAGCAAAAATAAACGAAAAAATAGGTTCACACTACTTCGATTGAACTCGAAAAACAGTTTTCAGCCAAAATCGCCACTGCTCTTTAGATCGATCCGTTTCAAAGTTATTCAACAAAAATCTCCATTTGTTTTTATTTTCGAAATAGACAACGGTTAACTATTAATTCGTATGTCATTCTAAAACTAAAATTTTCAATTGGGTAATATCCGAACTTTTTACAGCATATAAACATAAGTTTAAATGATTATTTGATAAATATACCTGCAGCTGCTACAATAGAAATTTTATTAATAAGTGCCGTTGAATTTTGATGAATATAAACATTCGGTGATAATTGAAATTGTTTTTGTAATTTATGAAATTTATTTTTAAAATGACTTAAATCAATTTCATTAAAATCTGATTTTTGTCGAATTTTTCTTAATTTTTCAGTTAATTTATTTAAATTTAATTCAATTTGATCTAAATATTGTTCTCTATATTGCATTAATATTTTTTTACATTCAATTGCTGTTTGTTGTATAATTTTAATTGAATCTTTTTCCCATTTATCAATTTGTTTTAATAAATAATATTTTTCTGGATGTTTTATTTCTTCATTAAAATTTTGTTTAAATACATCACGATTAAGTTCAATATGATCTAATTGTCGACTTAATTCATCTCGATGATATGCTAAATGATTATAACAAAAATCATTTAAACATCCTAAACATGTTGATGTTGATCGATCTTTTCCACATTTAACACAATGACTTCTAGGAATTTCTTTTGTCATTTATTTAATAGATAATTACCAAATATTCTATTCATTTGTGTATATATAAAAGAAGAAGAAAAAAAACGAATTAAAATCAGTCATATTATAATATCAAGGATAGAATTGATTATACACGCGTATACAGTTACTAATATTGTTCAAGGATATTATTTATATAAGTACATAAATGAGTATATTATCGCATGAATGACGGTATATTATAATCGATTTAGATAAGTTTATATTTATTCATGAAATAGTATATTAATGATTATCAAGGATATTTTCTAAAGGATATTTTAATAATGAAAAATATTAACAAGAATAAAAACGAAATTATTTTCATTAAGAAAATTGAAGTACAATCTCATGTCGTTAAATGATTTCTTATTACTCGTGATTTTATACACACTCACTGTTTGTTTTTATTCGTATATTCGCAATTACTTATTATTGATCTAAATTAATCAATATTTTTGAAAAACAAAAATATATAAAAATAAAATCGTGCGCAGCTTTACATGAGTACATGACAATGACTCAGAAAAAACTAAAAAAAAATCTTATCGTTAAAAATATCAAATGAATTTTTTTTAATTAAAACGACTAGTTTCACTATGAACTTTGTACAATCGCGAATGAGTTCTATAAACAAATTTTTATATGGTCATATGTCCTATCTGAAAACTATTATTTATTCCTTCTACAAACCACTGTCCACTATTTTCGCTTTGTATTCTCTCTCAGTATGACTCACCCCACATTTTATGAAATAATAAAAAGATGTTATTGTATTGTTAAATTTACTACTGACAGGCTCACTTGGTACTACGGGAATTATTGATTTATTAATACATTCGAATCCTATGCGTCATTAACTTGCGATAGTTGGAAATTAGTGATTAAACGCGATTTCTTTCAAAATCATATCTAAGTACTACCTTCCTTAATTGATTAGAGAACTTTTTATAAAGTTATACAATAAATTTTTTCATCAATATTAGATCTATGTTCATGTATTAAATTGATGTAGGCAAGATCGAAAAAAAATCTTTATTAAGTACTTCAAATAACATCAGCAAAAGTTAAACCCTGTATTTTAAATATATCGTTACTACAAAAACATACTTCTAAAAAAAATATAATACTACGTCCGAAAAATACGTAAAATTTTCTATGTGTCTATATATTTGTTTATTACTCTTACGCTTGAGTATTATCAAAATATTACAAAAACAATGAAATAATTGCAATTAACAGTTTTTTCATGATTTAAATAACTAGTTCTACTCGAAAATAATTTATTCCACGTGCTATAAAATATATATATTTTGTATTAACATAACTTACAAGTATACAATCAATATACATCGATGTATATAATATCAATGCAGAACAGAAAAAAAAGAGAGTACATCATTGATAGTTATAATAAGACGTGAATGATAAATTGCACACCTGTTTGAACATTATGTGACTCAACGTAGTTGTCATAGATGGTTGAGAAGAAACGAAAGGATTTTATATAATATAAATATGTATGTTATATAATTTTATAGAATAATCGACTATATCATCATTGATTGTACGAATATCACAAAATGATAGCTATGCACTTTTTAAATGACACATGTAATCTTATTATGACATAGTTTAAATAAATCTTATTCGAAATATTCTTAAAAATTATCGAGATAAAATATATTAATAAGATTTGACGAATCTAATCGATTAGTAACGTTAATTCTAACTTAAAATATTGTTTTAACTACTATTGTCGCGTTGTAGTACTTAAATTTCAACCACATTGAATATCTGTGATTTCGATAAATCTTTAATTGTATTAAATATATACGAGCAAGAATACACAATCAGTTTCTAGCTATTAGAAATAAAATTTATGACTAATATTTCTTCCCTCTATAGACAACCAGCTGAATAAGAAAATATCACCACTATTCGATCGCTTTTCGTATGTGTTATAGCCTGCAGTCATGATACGTCGTTCTCTTTCATCCATTCTCTTGAGTCATATACATATGATCGTGATTTCTGAGTCATTCACACATGATCAAGTATTATTTTTTCCGCTTGATATATACATGTGCTTTGATGTATGTAGAGAGTCATTCGTTTTCGCTTCAGATAAATGGATTGTACCCTCACAGTATGACTCTATTGTAATTTAATCGATCTAAATGAATAATATAGATGTCTGTTACATGTTAATTTTTCAACTTTTCTTTGCTAAATTTCGTAATCAAATCGTCGAGCTATTAGAAAATCTTTAGAGTGTAAGTAAAAACAAACATTTATTTTAATCTACGTTTCATATGAATAATGCTTTTATGATCAGGTAAAATCTTAATAAAAACACGTTTTCTATGTAAGCAGACGCTTATTATCTATATATATATCATTCTCTTTGATAAATTTCGAGTATTACTGTGACATTAGATCAAATGAAACAATATATTCTTAAGGATGGTATTTATTTAGAAGTACAATTATACATAAATAAATATAAAATTGAAAAAACTAAAATTAACCAATCATAGTAAAAAATACAATTTTCATTGTATTTATGAAGAATCATAAACTAATTTGTTGATTTCTATAAAATATTTTTGTATTTTAAATTGCTACTTCTGTTCTATTGGTATCCCTAAAAATGCATAAAATATTTTAGAAAAAAAGGAAAAAAATAAAAAGGAAATTTTTTATTACTAATTTAATAACCAGCTGCATTAAATTCTCGCTGTGAGAGAGCACCATCATGATTGGTATCAGCAGCATTGAAGAGAGTTGATGGGGCAAAACCTGAACCTGGTCCGACATTTGAACCAGCACCAAAGGTTTGTACGGATTCTCCAGCACCACTAAAAGATTGTGAAAGTACACCGGTAGCTCCGAAACCAGTTGCACCTTCACCAGCACCACCAACATGACTGCTGAAAGCTGCAGGTGAATCAATTCCAATTACACCACCACCATGAGCTTCAAAAGATGAATGAGCAATATTTGAACTTGATCCAACACCACCAGCAGTAGCTTCAAAATTCATTTCACCAGCAATACCACCAAAGCCTTGTCCAGTAAGACCACCAGCACCACTAGCACCGCCAGTTGATGAAAATTGACCTTCAGTAGCAGCAAATGAACCAGGAACAACAGGGGGTGACTATAAATAAATATTAAAAGAAAATAAGAAAAAATAATCGAAATAAAATATAATGATAATTACAATATCTTCTACGACACCAGCTGCTCGTGCTTGTTGAACAAGTGTTACTGAGTCAAGAAGTTGAGCACCATATCGTTGAACATAGGCTTGAGGATTTTCAGGTTGTACACCTAATTTTTGGAATTGACGAACAATGCGAGCTTGTACACTTTCATATTGAATAATGACATTGCGTGGTTGTTGATATGCTTGAGCTGCTGCAGCACGTTGAACAACTGTACGACGTTTTGAAGCTGCACCATAAGGTACCCAACGTTCAATGATGATATCACGTGGACGTGGTGGAGCAGCAGCAATACGTTCGATAATTGTTGATCGTGGTGGAACAGGTAATGCAGCAAGTTTACGAATAACTAAAAATGAATATAAAATTGAGAGAAAAACAAAACTGAAATTAAATTTA